AGATAAATAAATAAATAAATAAATAAATAAATAAATAAATAAATAAATAAATAAATAATCTTTTATAATTCATACTGATTCAAAAAGTCAATCTGCACTCACTAAGAGTATATTTGGCACATTGAGTTTTACAAGCAAAGCAGAGCTAACACCTGTAGAACACATGCCAATAAAGTCAGAACTACTCAATTCTCTACCATTCAGAAATTAACAGAACATGATTCCAATGGCATAAGAATAATTAATTCCAAGAACTAACAGACTGCATGAAATTAAAGTTTCTGCACAGCAAAGGAAATGAACAGCAGAGTAAAGAGAGGGAGCCTATAGAATAGAAAAAGTCTGCCAACTACATATCCAACAGAAAATTACTAACTAAAAGCTACAAAGAACTCCAAAAATTAAATACAAAAAAACTCCAACTAATCAATAAATGGTTTTAAGGAACTGAACAGATAGTTCTCAAAGAAAGAAAATACAAATGATCAATACATATTTGAAAAAAATGACATGTTCAACATGCTTAGCCATCAAGGAAATGGGAAATAAAAACTGCTTTTGAGACTCCATCTCACCCAGTCAGAATGACTATCATCAAAAAACAAAATAGGACAAAAAGTGCTGCAAAGGACTGGGGGAGAGGGATCCGAGTCCTCTAAAACACTGCTAGTAGAAACAGAGTGCAACCACTATGGAGAGCAATACAGAGGGTCCATCAAAAAACTAAAAAAAATAGGCCAGGCGTGGTGGCACATGTCTTTAATCCCAGCACTCGGGAGGCAGAGGCACACGGATCTCTGTGAGTTCAATGCCAGCCTGGTCTACATAGTGAGTTCCAGGTTTGAGGACAGCTGGGCTACAGAGAAACCGTCTCAAAAAGACCAAAAAAAAAAAACACTAAAATTAGGGGCTGGAGAGATGGCACAGTGGTTAAGAACACTGGTTGTTCTTGCAGAAGACCTGGGTTCAAATCCCAGCACCCACATGGCAGTTAACAACTGTCTGTAACTCGAGTTCCAAGGGATCCGATAGCCTCTTCTGTGCGGGAATTGCACGACAGGGGTGCACTTACCTACATGCAGGCAATACACGCATACACATAAAATAAAAATAATAAAATATTTTTTTAAAAACTAAAAATAGACCTACTATGATTTAGCTGTAACACTCTTGGGTATATGTCCAAAGGACTCTAAGTCTGCATACCAAAAAAGATCCTTGACATTCATGTTTACTGCTGCACTATTCACAATAGCTAAAGTATGCAACCAGCCTAGATGTTATCAGCAGAAAAATGGATAGAGGAAATGTGGTACATATACAAAATGGAAATTAATCTTATTCAACTGTGAAAAAGAATGAAATTATAACATTTGCTGGAAAGTGAAGGTAATTCAAGATCATGACATAAGAAACAAGCCAGACTCAAAAAGACAAACAGCTCATTATTTTCTCTCAAATGTAGACTGAAATTCATACAGGTGTACACACACACACACACAAAAAAAAAAAAAAAAAAATATGGGGACTACGCTGTAGAGATCTAAAGCAGGGAGGGGGTAACAAAGAGAGGGCAATAGAGTATATGTGCCATGAAAGCAGAAGGGGGACTATGGAGGGGGAAAGGAACCACAGAGGGGTAGAGGGAAAACAGAGAGGGCAAATGGGTTAGAAGCAGGCAAATACAAACAAAATATAAGGATCTATACATAAGGAAATGTTGGGCGAGGAGTGGTAGTCTTTAGTCCTAGCACTTAGGAGGCAGAGGCAGGTTCATCTCTGTGAGATCAAGGCCAGCCTTCCAGACCAGCTGGGGCTACAGAGAGACTGTCTAAAGGGGAGCAGGGGGAGGAAATGTCATAGTGAAACTCATTTCTTTGTATGTTGAGGGAGGGAAGGAAGGAGGGAGGGAGGGTTACTCCAAGATATAGTTCAGATTCTAAGGAAATGCTTGGATGACAGTACTGACTTCATTAGTATGACCTCTTGCCTGTTTTTCTGTGGTGCTTTCAACATTTGCTGACTGCTGACTTCGTTAGTGAGCCAGTATTTCACCTGAAAACTCAAGACTTTTCAAATACAGTCTCACATTTCTATGAATTTGTATCACAGTAAACAGTTGTTTCTTCAAGTATCTAGGTAGCAAATATAGCTTACTGCCCCCAATCCTTCAGTAAAGGGCAATAAAAAGCAACCAAACCCACAGTCCTCTTTAATGGGAGGGAGAGGTGGTAAGAAGCTTTATTTAAGTTAGCACAAAACAAGATATCATCCCCTTTCCCCTAGCAGCAATATACCAGCAGCATACAAGTGAGCTCCAATGTTTCCTAGATTATGGTCACTATAGAAGATTGAGTCTTAGAACCAAAAGAATTCCCCCTCCTCCAATCAATCATGCCCAGTACACCACAACTCTCCTTTAGGAGCTTTCTCAGATCCCGAAACTACTCAAAAAGCATAAATGGCTTCCAATACTTTAAAATCTAAAAACAAAGTCCAACACAACATTTCAATATTCAATTTTATCACTGAACCCAATTTTCATTTTTCTCTCACCATTCATTTTACAAACCCAAGAATTCTGTTAACTATTTGCTAATATCCCCCAAAAAATGTCCATTAGCTTTATTCCACCTCCAGCCCTTTATGATCAGTTCCTCTACCTGAAATGTGTTCTCGGGGCTGGAGAGTTGGCTCGGTGGTTAAGAACATTGGCTACTCTTGCAGAGAACTCAGGTTTGGTTCCTAGCACCCACATGGCAGCTAACAACCATCCAATTAATTCCAGTTCTGGGAGATCAAATGCCTTCTGGTCTTTGCAGGCATTGCATGACATGGGTACACTTACATATGTGGAGGCAAAAAAAAAATCATACACATAAAATAATAAAATAAAAAACCTTTTCAGAACCATAGCACTCCCCTCAATCTCTACCTTCCTTTAATGCTTCTACTTGCAATTTATCCATCATGTATCCTCAAAATACTGACTTCTTTGACCTAACTTCTCTACTGTTATCCTTATTTTTCTATCATAGTCAAATTTCTCACAAGTCCTCAGCATTTGCTATGGATACTTTTACTTCCAACTCACTGTAAATTGGCATATGCAACACCGTTCTACTCATCAGAGGCAGCTGGACTCCTTGCTACTAAATCTAAAAGACACTCAAATTTTTCCATCTTTGGCTTCCAAGAGTTCACTGTCTCTCCATCTAAGTTTTTTCTTAAATGCTGGTCTCCTCTGAATTGTTGGTCTTAAATAACTCTTTTTTTCTTTGCCTCCTCTTAAGTACTAATGCCACAATTATCCTCTCCAACCTGACATTTTATTGAGTTCACACATCTTTATCCAAGCAGCTGAATATCTCTAGTTGATGTCTCTTGGGTATGTTAATGTGAACTGAAGGTATTATGTAATTCTTCTGTTAGCCATAATTGCTCTTTCTGAACACCAAAATCAAAACAAACTACAGGGCTATGAGCATAGCTCAAGAGTAAAATGCATGCTCAGCATACACAAAACTCTGAGTTCAACTCTCAGGACCAAAAACAGCAACCAAACAAACCAAAAACTGCAACTCTTTCTGGATTCCCAGTTACAATAAATGGTCACCATACAGTCATCTGACCACAACAAACGCTAACATTATCTTTGGCTTCTCTTTCTCTTAAATTTCATATTTAATCATTCAACACTTTATTAATTCTTAGTGGTGAGTAGTTCTCAAGCCCATCTCATTCTCTTCAATTCATTGCTTTAGTTTAGGCACTGATTATTAACTTTACTGGAACAGCATTAGTATGTAAGCCCTACTCTTGCTTGCTTCCTTTAATTAATTCTATAAATTGCTATCTGATCTGCTCAAAATCAAACTCCTTCCCTGGCACACAGTGGTTCTTCAGGTGCAACCTCCTGTTTTGCAATCCAACCTGAATCACCTCGCTTGGCAAGCAGTCTACCCTCTAGCCTTAATGGACTATTTATTGTTCTTTAAATTGGACAATCTCTACCTTATCTCAATTATCTCTAAATATGCTGATCTCTACTTAGAATACACTTTGTTCACTAATCCCCTTCCAACCAGATAACCCTTCCTACAAAAAGGTTTTCCAAATCACCCTCTTTAGTTTGTATACTGCTTACTTTTCTCTACTACAAATCACCTGCTTACACATCTATGTCCTTAAACCAGGTCAAGGAGAGAACCTGATACTTTCATTATGCCTATTAAATGTTTCCAGTAACAGGTTTACATCTTCACTACAAACTTATGAGAGTTCAATTTTTTCTACCTTTGTAATCTTTATCAGGCTAATACCAAGCAACTATCAAGTGTTCATTGCATCAGTAAACTTTTTCTGTATTATACCACAAAATGTTACTTAACGCTTCATAGTCCTACACACAGTGCTCAACTAAAGCAAAGAGCATTCAGTTCATTTTATTTTTAAATTTGTATTTTTTGTGTATAAGTGTTCTGCCTGCATGTATTAAGTGTACCACATGTGTGTAATGCCCATGGAGGCCAGAAGAGGGGGTCAGATCCCCTGGAACTGGAGTTATGGATGGTTGTTAGCTACCCCTTTCAGTTTTTGATATTCACAGTTGGGAATAAAGAGATTAATTCACTTTGGGGCTGGAGAAATGGCTTTGCAGTTAATAGAGCTAGCTGCTTTTGCAAAGGACCCAGGTTTGGTTTCCAGCTCCGACATGGCTGCTCACATCTGTCTGTAACTCCAGGTCCAGATGATCCAACATCCTCTTCTGGACTTCACAGGCACTGCATACACATGGTATAAATGCAAGTAAAACACTAATATACATAGAACTTTTTAAATTTTCAAAAAGATAATACAGCCAGGTATGGTGGTACACACCTTTAATCCCAGCATTAGGAAGAGGCAAGTGGATCTCTGTGAAGTCAAGGTCAGCCTGCTCAAGTTTCAGGCCAGCTGGGACTACAGGGAGACCCTGTCTCAAAAAAAGAACAAAAACAGCCGGGCATGGTGGTACACACCTTTAGTCCCAGCACTCAGGAGGCAGATGCAGATGGATCTCTGTGAGTTCGAGGCCAGCCTGGTCTACATAGTGAGTTCCAGGCCAGCTGGACCCTGTCTCAGAAAGACATAAATAAATAAATAAATAAATAAATAAATAAATAAATAAATAAATAAATAAATAAATAAATAAAGCTGCCGCCTTCCACAGGCACTTCATTTTAACAATTTCTTCCCAATTCTAAACCACTATAGGAATGGACATCTGTACCACTTCTGTGTCAGCCTCATGTTCACTTAATGTAATCATGCACCTTTTCATGGGCTCTCTTGTCTTTTTTCCTCCAGAACTGCCTGGAAAATAAGATGATCTTGGACAAAAAAAGGCCACAATCCATCTCTAGTGATCTCGGTGTCTTCTGTATGTTTTCTTTCCTTCTCTTACCCTATTTAAAAAAAATTTTTTTAAGCAGACAATACAAACAGTATGGCACACTAGTCAGAAAACAGTGAACGTCTAAGTGTAAGTCTGGGATAGAAGGTCATCAAAGACAGGAGAATCCAGAGGGCTGACTGATTTGGCTAGCAAGGATACACAAGCCCTACAGTAGAAGAAAGGGGTGACATAAAGTGTATGTATAAGATCAAAGAGACTGAACTCATAACTGAAACTGTAAAGGAATTTACTAGCTACTGTACATACACTATGAACTCTACTTTCCACGTTCAGCAGGAACAACACAGGTAAAAAGCTAGGCCTGGGAGGTGAACTAAACTGGAAGATACAGAAAACACAACAATTCACATTTATAAATGTACAAAATTCATAAGGGTTATATTGTACCACTTCGAAGTCAAAAGAACAAGGTCTTTGTAAAGATGAACTCTGGCAATCACTACATTGATAATTCAGTCTCATGGACAGAACATCCCATTTAACTACACCAGTCAGTCTGTCATGGACATGAACTGCTAATTCTTATTGAAAGAGGAGGAATTCTGTGGAAATTTAAATATTCATTTATTCTTTATAACATTATTTTTATTTTTAAAGGTATCATAACAGTATTGTGGTTATGTTAAGAGAACAAGCCCTCTTATTTACAAAGCAATGATATAATGTGCGTGGCTTCAAAATTTCATAGAATGGGATGGGATGCTGTAGATTAAAGAAAATGAGGGATAAGTACATGAGGGTCATTATATATACAGTTAAATTTTTCATAATAAAAATTTTTCAATAGCCAGGCTTGGTAGCACAATGACACCTTTAATTCTAGCACTGACAAAGTATCCTTTTTGTATCCATAAGAAAACAAAAGTAAGAGTGCAACTGGGGCTGGAGATATGGCTCAGCAGTGAAGAACACTGGCTACTCTTGCAGGTTTAATTCCCAGCACCCACATGGTGGTTAACAACCATCTACAGGGGATCGACCCTCTTTTCTAACCTCCACAGGCACTGCACAACACAGGTGCACTTACATACATGCAGACAGTACCCTCATACACAAAATAAAAATAATAAAATATTTTTTTTAATATTTTTTAAGTCTTTTTGAGACAGGGTCTACCTGTAGCCTCAGCTGGCCTGGAACTATGTAGATCAGGCTGGCCTTGAACTCACAGAGATCCACCTGCCTCTGCCTCTAGTGCTAAAACTAAAGGCATGAGCCACCACATCCAGCTAAAAATCAGTAAAGTATTAAGAGTGCAAGTTATGACAGGCATGGTGGCACGTGGCTTTAATCCCAGCACTCCAGGGAGGCAGAGGCAGGAGGATCTGTGAGTTTGAGGCCAGCTAGCCTGGTCTACATAGCGAGTTCCAGCCAGCTGTGGCTACAGGAAAACCATGTCTCAAAAAGACCAAAAAATAAAAATTAAAAAAAAAAAAAAAAAAAGAGGGCGGGGGCTGGAGAGATGGCTCAGCAGCTAAGAACACTGACTGTTCTTACAGAAGACCCGGGTTCAATTCCCAGAACCCACATGGCAGCTAACAACTGTCTATAACTCCAGTTCCAGGGGATTCAACAGCCTCTTCTGTCCTCCGTGGGCACTGCACGACACAGGTGCACTTACCTACGTGCAGGCAATACATACATATACATAGAAGAGCGCAAGTTATCTAGTAAGAATGGAAGAGAAAGAAATATATACAAAGCATTGCAAAGCCTCCTCATCAATACTAAGCTAATTATGTCTCAACTTCTTGTTTCATGAGAAATTAGCAGCATACTTATTCAACTTAAAATATATCAGACTGTCTGCTTTTCAGTCCAAAAGCAATCCTAACAAATAAGCACTATAAAAATTATCATTTGTCTTTGACTGGCATAGGGCTCACACATGCAATCAACATTCAGGAGGATGAGGGAAGGCCAGCTCGGACTATACTATGAGTCCCAGGCCAGCATGAGTTAGTTTGTCTCAAAGGAAAATAAATTTAAAAAATAAATAAAAAACTAGGCAAGGCAGCACAGGCCTTTAATCCCAACACTCTGAATGCAGCCCAAGTGTACCTCTGTGAGATGGAGGTCAGCCTGGTCTACATAGCCAGTTGCAGGCCAGCTGGGGTTACAGGGAGACCCAGGCATAAAATAAATAAAAATACTAGAAAACAACTTTGATATACTTCGAAAGCAGACTTATCTGAATAAATACCTTATAGTAGGAATACAATGAATGTAATATAACAATGACATTTAATGATACACACCTAGAGGGCTAGAGAGATCACACAGCAGTTAAGAGCACATGCTACTCATCCAGAGTACCTAAGTTTGTTTCTCAGTGACACGTATGCATATACGCATACCCACTTAATAAATTTTTTAAATTTAAAAACTATTATAGGAGTGTTTTGGGGGGAAGGAGGGGCTAAGGGGACTATGACAGGGTCTCATTGAGACTACAGGCATATGCCACCACACACAGTTAATCTTCGGATTTTAAAAAATCAGTACACAGCATGCCTTTAATCCGGGCACTCAGGAGACAGAGGCAGGTGATTCCCTATGAGTTCAAGGCCAACCTGGTCTACATAGTGAGCTCCAGGCCAGCTGGGGCTCAAAAGAGAAAAAAAAAAAAAAAAAAAAAAAAAAAGAAAAAGAAATCAGTACACAGGGTCTTGATGTAAGTTGCACAGGTGTGTTCAGTTTGGGAAAATTTCAGCAAACCTTTAAAAATAACTGACCCTAAATAGTGAGAACAGTAAGGTAAGAGAACAGAACTGTACCCTTCCTTCTTTCCTTCCTTCAGCTCCTTTCCCTCAATACCTCATTATTCAGAAAAGGAAACTAAATGCAAAAAGAATAATCTTTAAAAATATATATATATTACATATTTTTAAGTAAACAGACATGTTGCAGGAATACCCAAATTTTGAACAGCAAAACTAAGATGCACGATAACAGAATCTGTGTGAACTTACCTACAAGTCTTTGCAGTAACTAGAATATCAGAATTATATGAAAACATTCATAATTTAAGGAAATCCCAAAAGGGAATACCGAAGATGTTTTAAGAGACTACTATCCATAATAATTCCAATGTCCTGGAGAAGAAAATTATTTAATTATATATGAAGTTCCCAAGTCTATTGTTAAAAGATCAAGAAAGCATGCAAAAAAAACCTATTCCATGACAACTAATGCTTCAATAACAAAACACCAAGGAATCTGAAACAGAAAATACCTGCTACTACATGTTTTTTGAGGCAACTTTCCAATTCTAGGGCCTAGAATGATACTTGGAACACAGGGAAAGTCAATAAATAATTTGTTAGACCACTCATTCTTTTTAAAAAGTAAAATAAAGCCTGATTCTCAAAAAAAAAAAATCCAATGAAGATACTTCTAACATTCATACTATATGTAAGAGTTAGAGCTACTATAGGGCATCATGATATATCAATTACTTTCTAACTATGATAAAACACCATAACCAAGGCAACTTATAAAGGGAAGAGTTTATTCCAGAAGGTAAGAGTCCATCATGGCAGGGAGGCATGTTGGCAGAAGTGGCCAGAGGAAAAAGCTGAATGCTCACATCTTCAAGCAGGCACAGGGCAGAGTGAGATAGACTAGAAATGGAGAAATGGGCATGGCTATGAACTCTCAAAGCCTGCCCCATTGACATGCTTCCTCCAGCATGGCCCCACCTCCTAAAGGTACAATGACCCTCCCCAAACAGCACCACAAACTGAGGACCAAGAGTCCAAATGCTGGGAGCCTATGAGGGACATTCTCATTCAAACCACCACACATATTTGAAAAAAAAAATGCTTTACAGTTTTGAAATTTCAACTACTAAACTAACATTAATGAGTACTCTGTAATTATAGTTTTCAAAATACTATAGTTTTTATATTTTCTATTATAATTGAAGTGCTTCATTATAATCTGTCTGCAATACCCACTAGAAGCACCTCGCTCTTTGAGAAAGAAAGCAGATACACAGCATTCCTCTCCTAGAACACATAATACCTAAGGTACAAGGTACCTTACCATTAACTAGATGTTCAAGTAACACCTACAGTTTAACATGTTTTATGATCGTGTACATTTTTGTTTCTTTTTGTTTGTTTTGAGACAGAGTCTCACAATGTAGACCAGGCAGGCCTTGAATTCACAGAGATCTGCCTGTCTCTGCCTCCCAAGTGCTGGGATTAAAGGCCTGCACCACCATGCCCAACATGGCTATATATTTTAATATACAACCAATTCATATTCTCTTGCAACCTCAAGCTGTTACCAAGATCAGTAAATATTAATAACAAAGATATAAGAATACTGTAACTGTAGAAATGAATGTTATAATGGCAGAAGAAATACAATTAATGTGATAGGTAAAAATAACTGCACAATTCTTTTACTGAGAAATGGAGCCCATGAATCTGGGCTGACCTTAGGGATCTGAACTACCAATAAAATACAAGAACATTTCCAAAGCTTCATTATAGGAGTGTTAGTTATTTCCACTTGGTTGTTTTGTTTTTGTAAGGTACAAAGCTGCCTTTGATAATTTGGTATAAAAAAGAAATAGTATAAACTAGAATATAAAGGAAAGTATTGGTCCAAATTACCCTTATCCTTGTGATACTAAGCTTCTGGTTCTGTGAGTGTTTTCTCTTGCTGAAATGTGAAATTAGGCTGAAGAAGAACATTGGAACAAATTTCTGTTAATGATTACAGAGCGGTTCTCAATCTGCAATGGGGGAGGGGAATCAAGCACCCCTGTTGAGATCTTTCTTTAAAAAAAAAAAAAAAAAAAAGCAAGGGGGTTAGAGAGATGGCTCAGCAGTTAAGAACACTGACTGTTCTTGCAGAAGACCCAGGTTCGAATCCCATTAACCACATGGCAGCTAACAACTGTCTATAACTCCAGTTTCAGGGATCTGATGGCCTCTTCTGTCCTCCACAGGTATTGCAGGACACGACTGCACTTACATACATGCAGGCAATACACTCATACACATAAAATAAATAAAATATATTTTAAAAAAGCAAAAATGCTCACAAAACACTCCACTATTTTAGTGGATTCTCAGGGGTCTATAGGCTTTAGATTACAATCAATTTTAGACAACTAAAAGTCCACAAATCTACTACAGTGCTGAGATTGTAAAGACTGTTTTACTTAAATTTCAAAAATAATTTTTCATTCATCAATGAAGAACTAAATAATGTAAGCCCTTTGTGAACAAGTATCCACCTATTTTATGCTGAAATTATACAGTAACATACACTTGTAATCCCAGCACTCAGGAAGCTGAAGCATAAGGATCATTGCAAATGCAAGGCTAGCCTGAGTACAGTAAAACCATCTCCAAGGGGGATCTGAAATTATTACTCAACATCACTATCTTAAGTGTAAGCTAATAAGCTTCTAAGCATTAGTTGCCTCAGAAATACATTGTATACCCAGATATTGGGGCTTCCTTATGTGCTAGACAAGTTATCAATGACCTACACAGAAAATACATACTCTAAGACCACCTTCTGGAGACAGTAGTTAAGTCTCATGCTACTATCACACAAGAGTGTTTTGAGTTTTCATTTTGTTTTTGCCACAAAGTCTCACAGTAGCCCCAGCGGCCTGGAACTCACTATGTAGACCAGGTTGGCCTTGATCTCACAGAGATCTGTCTGCCTCTGCCTCCTGAGTGCTGGGATCAAAGACATGCACCATCACACTGCTTAAAATTTTTTAAATGCTATTTATTTTTGTTATGCTTATGAGTGTTTTGCCTGCAAGCACATTATGTGCATGCAATGCCCAGAGAGGCCAGAAGATGGCATCAGATGCCTGGAACTAGAGTTACTAGACAGGAACAGTCTTGTGGGTGTTGGGAACTGACCCTGGGTCTTAGCCAGTGCCCTTAACTGCTGAGTCATCTATCTAGCCCCCATGTTGCAATGCATGGCTCAATAAAAAACATTTGCTTCCATATTTCAATATGTCATGCTAAATTTCTAAAAACCTTCATTGAACACCAATGAACAAATGAGAAAAAAAAAAAAAAAAAATCACACACTGAACAGCGAGGTATAGCAGCATTAACTCTGTAACCCCAGCTACTCTGGAGTTTGAGTTCAAGGCCAGTCTGAGCTACAAAGTAATTCTAAGAGCAACCTGGACAACTAAATGAGACTCAGTAAGTAAAAAGACAACCGGAAATATGTAGTGTTTGTCTAGCTTTCACATCTTCAAGGCCCAAGGTTCAATGCCTGCCCAGCAAAGGGGGGCATTAGCATAGCTGTGACCTCGGAGACCCCATGGGAAAAATACGTGCCCTAGTGTCTTTTCTTTCTTCATATCCTCTTAAAAATTCTATTTATTTTTATTTACTATTTATTTTTATTTTATGTGTATGTGCTAGTATAGCCTGCATGTATCCAAGTGCACCCGTGTCATGCAATACTCAGAAGACAGAAGGTGACATCATATCCCCTGGAGCTGGAGTTAACACAGTTGTCAGCTGCCATGTGAGTGCTGGGAACTGAACCCCAGACTTCTGCAAGAACGGATAGCGATCTTAATTGCTGAGTCATCTCTCCAGCCCACCAAACTTTTTTATTAATTTTTATCTGTGTATGAATGTTTTGTCTGCATGTTGGTGCACTGGTACATGCAATAATCCTGCAAGCCAGAGGGAGGCGTCAGATTCCCTGGAACTGGAGTTATATATGTTTGTCAGCTGCCATGTAGTTGCTGGGAACAGAAACAGGGTCCTCTGCAAGAACAGTCAGTGCTCTTAATCACTGAGCCATCTCTCCAACTTCCTTCATATCCTTCTTAAATGACCTGAGTTCAAACTGGAGCAAAAATAATTCTACAATTTATTTTATAACTTTCTGAATATTGCTCTTTCATCAGGCTAACATGCTTTCTAGCTACTTCCAAACATCAAAATAAAATGCTAATAAAACAAAGCATTTACAGCTGTTCTTTCTTCTCCGGTAACCAAGTAAACAACTGTCTAGGGAGTTATTTATAATGCCATTCTCATCCCATTTAAGAATTAATCTAGAGGCCGGGCATGGTATCGCATGCCTTTAGTCCCAGTACTGGGGGAGGCAGAGGCAGGTGGATCTCTTTGAGTTCCAGGCCAGCTGGGGCTACAAGAGACCCTATCTCAAAAGACCGAAAAAAAAAAAAAAAAAAAAAGAGAATTTAGAGTATTAGTAAATCCACCCCAAACTAACCTACAGTATGAGCAGGCTATAAAACTACAAGCATACATTTTATAAAGTAATACACATCTGCAAAAACTTGGTCTCACCAATTGGTAACAAAACCGGGTTAAAAAACAAGGTAATAAATACGTTAACTTTAAAGATTCAAGTACATCATTTCTCAAAAAAGTTTCAGAATAAATATCACTAAACAAGTTAAAAAAAAAAAAAAACTTTCAAAATTGAAAGTCGCCAGAGCAAATAAAAGACCAGACAAAAACCCTTATCAACTGAAAACTAGACATAAAAGTGGATGAAGAAAATTTCGGGAACGGGTGGGGAACGACAAAAGTCACTATTTGAGTGCAAATGCCAAGCAAATTCTTGACACTAACACTGAAATGGAGCACTTTTCCATTAACTTTAAGTTTTTGGTAAATACTCTGTAACTGCACTAAACCCACAAAGTTTCTCTATCATTTTTCTCAAAAGTATCAGACTAGAGGAGCCTGCGGGAAGTGGAGATACATATCAAGATACACTTTGTTTTGTTTTTGACAGGGCCTCCCTACCGTAAGGTCCTCAGTGGACCAGGCTGGCCTCACAGGCGGAGATCCTCAGCCTGGGGAAGTTAAAGGCGAGCGCCACCACGCCCAGCGTTCAGGATACATTTCTACACCTATGAAACTGTCCAAGAATAAACAAAAGATACTCTTACTTTTTAAAAAGTACCCGTCATGTACGGACTCATGCGCAAATGAAACGGCTTGTTGTTACTCTAACAGTTTTACTCGGTTATTCTGAGTGCTCTTTTACAACGGGAGAGTGGTAGGACCAATCCCGAGTAAGAAACGGAAAGTACAGAAAGAGGCAAAGGCTCCTCCGCACCCCCACATGGGGGGGTGGAGACGGGGAGGGGACACGGGACCGACTCCGAGGGGAGTAACGGCGGACTGGTCCCCGCCGTCAACCCAAAAGAAAGCAGCACTGTCTGGGTTCCCGGTCACCTCGGACAAGGGGTATCCCCGCCGCCCCCAGCCTCCGGGACGAAGGTCCCAAAGTGGAGCCGAGCGGCTTTTCCGAGGCACCGAGCTTCCCAGTCCGGATTGTCTACCGTTACATAACTGGGCCTTGGGCCCTGCTCCGCCGTCAGTCCTGCGAGGAGAAACGGACGGTTTCCCCAGGGATGCTCCGGGGAGAAGCAGGCGGGGCTGGGCACCTGGTCGACTCGGGAGAGCGCTGGAGGGCCGTCGAGGGGGACACGGCCGCAGCGCGGGCGGCGAGGAGCCGGCTTCGGAGAGCCGGGAGGCCCCCGGAGCCCTTCGGCCACTGGCCGCTCCGTCGGCGCGCGGCGTTCTCGCTGCCCCTTCCTCACCGGCCGCCCCCTCCCCCAGCCGCGTCCTCTCTCCCGCGCCTCCATCCCCGGCCCCAGCCCAGCGGCCGGAGGAGCCGAGCCACGGAGGCCTGAACGGCGCCGCCCGAGAGCTTCCGGCGCGGTACCTGGTCAGACATGGTGTCGCTGGCTACGCCTCGGGTCTCCGCAACACCGCGGCCTCGGGCAGGCAGAACCTCGTTCTGGGGTTTACAAATCCGTCTCCCTTCCCCACAGCACAACACCGCGGCAGCAGGGACTTCCGGTACGTCTCGCGTCACTTCCGCTGGGCGCTTGGAGGAGGGGTGGGGAGACAGGAAAGGGAGGTGGCTAGAAGGGAGGCCCGGAGGCGAAGGATTGGAAGCTGCTTCGCGGAGGCGGAGCGAGGCCACACCAGTCCCTGCAGCTCGTGGGGAAGCTGGCTCCGGGCCTCGGTCCCCCCGTGGCCGCGCGTGCCGCCTAGACTCCTCCCCCTCGGACAGCTTGGGCTGTTCTGAGGGCTGAGCCTAGGTCTTTTGTCTCCTCCCAGCTTTACTCATCAACCCTCCCTGAATAGATTGAATTTCCAGTGTAATATTTTTATTACTGCCCCCCTCCTCACTTGTTAAACCAAACACATGACCTTGATTAAAAACCACAAGGAGCCGGGCGTGGTGATGCACATATTTAATCGCAGCACTTGGGAGGAGGAGGTAGGCAGATGGCTGTAAAATGAGGCCAGCCTGGCCTACATAGTTCCAGGGCAGCTGGGGTTACAAGCAGACAGTCTCTCAAAAAAAAAAAAAAGGAGGGGGGAGAAGGAAGGGAGGGAGGGAAGGAGAAGGAAAGGAAAGAAAGAAGGAAAGGAGAGAGAAAAGGATGGGACACAATCTTGATGACTACAAATGAAATAAAAGGCTGATGAAAGTTCTAAAGTGGAGGGAAGGAAATATCCAATCTTTGAATTAGTTGCCTTGACTTGAGCTACAGAAAAGACCTAAAATGCCTGGCATGATGGCGCATGCCTTTAATCTCAACACTCGGAGGCAGAGGCAGGTGGATCTCTGTGAGCACAAGGCCAGCCTGATCTAGATAGCAAGTTCAAGCCAGCTGGGGCTATAGGGAGACCCTGTCTCAAAAAGACGAAAAAAAAAAAGGGCCTAAGAGTTCTTCTTTCGAATACAGTGGTCTTCTGGCACAAGCATGGTGGAATAGGATTGAGAATCTTGAAATAATCCTTCACACAACAAATGTTAAGACAAATAGTGAGAAGCTGGAGAGATGCTCAGCGGTTAAGAACACTGGTTGTTCTTGTGGAAGACCGGTTCGAATCCCAGCACCCACATGGCAGCTAACAACTGTCCATAACTACAATCCCTGGGGATCCAACAGCCTCTTCCGACCTCCATGGGCATTGCACGACAGGGGTGCACTTACTACATGCAGGCAATACATGCATACACATAAAATAAAAATAAGTAAAAAATTTTAAAAAGAAAGCTAAAAACATTTTTAAAAAAGACAAATAGTGAAAAAACAACCTTTTCAATAATGAGACTACTAAACATCCACAGGCAAAAGAAGGAATTTGCATCCCTGTCTCACTATATATACAAAATTAAAATTAAATTTCAAAGGTGTATATGTACAACCTAAAACTAAAACTCTTAGGAGAAAACACAAACGTAAATCTTCATGACTTGTACTTTTGGTTTTGGAGACAAAGCATCAATATTTAGCCCAGGCTGGCCTTGAACTCATGGTCTTTCTGTGTCAGTCTCCCAAGAACTAGAATTACAGTTTTACATACCCCACCCAGTTTAGATTAGATAAATAACATTTTACATATGACACCAAAAGCACAAAATAAAGAAAATTTGAAAAATTGGATTTCATCAAAATTTTTACTTTGGGGGACTCCAGAGATGGGTCATCAGTTAAGAGAACGTTCTGCTCTTCCAGAGGACCCAGGAGCCAAATGGTGGCTAACAGCAGTCCTTAACTCCAGGTCCAGGGGATCCAATGCTCTCTTCACCAAGCATGTACATGGTACACTTACATATATGCAGGCAGAACGTGTATACAAAAAAAATTATTTTTTAACTTTTGTCATTAGTGTTCAAATAACAACCAAAAAATGGGAGGAATATTTGAAAATGTTTGCCACAGCCCAAAATAGGGGCTGCAGAGATGATTTAGCAGTTAAAAGCATTGGCTGCTCTCTCTTGCAGAGTACCCAGGTTTGGTTCCTAGCACCTAACAACCAGCTGTAACTCCAGTTCCAGAAGATTTGACACCCTCTTCTGAAGTCTACAGGCATTGCACACACAGGTGCACTTACATGCAGTCAAAATATTCATACACATAAAATTAATAAAATTCATATATAGAGAGCAATCCATTATAACTTTATATAACTCACCCAACAATGAAATAACAACCCAATTTCTTTTTTTCTTTTTGGTCTTTTTGAGACAGGGTCTCCCTGTAGCTCCAGCTGTCCTGGAACTCACTATGTAGACCAGGCTGGCCTTGAACTCACAGAGATTCGCCCCAATTTCTTTTTTTAGAACAACCTAATTTTTAAAATGAATGGGGTCTGGAGATATGGCTCAGTGGTTAAGAACACTGGCTGTTCTTGCAGAAGACCTGGGTTCGAATCCCAGCACCCACATAGCAGCTAACAACTGTCTGTAACTCCAGTTCCAGGGGATCTGACAGCCTCTTCTGTCCTCCTTGGGCATTGCACAACACGGGTGCACTTACCTACATCCAGGCAATACACACATACACATAAAATAAAAACAAATAAAATATTTAAAAATAAATAGCCAGGCGTGGTGGCACACGCCTGTAGTCCCAGCACTTGGGAAGCAGAGGCAGGTGATCTCTGTGAGTTCAAGGCCAGCCTGGTCTACATAGCGAGTTCCAGGACAGCTGGGGCTACAGAGAGACCCTGCTTCAAAAAGACAAAAAATAAATAAATAAGAATAAAAATGAGCAATTAGGCCTGGGAATGTAGTTCAGTAGTAGGGTGCTTCTCTACTATGCCCAAAGGCCTGAGTTCAATCCCCAGTAACACACACACACACACACACACACACACACACACTTGCACACACGCACACATGCACACAAGCACATAGAACTGGAGAGATGGTTCAGTGATTAAGAGTACTTGCTGTTCTTCCAGCAAGTACTGAACCTGGACCCAGGTTCAGTTTCCGGCACGCACATGGTGGCTCACAACTACATGTAATTCCAGCTCCAGGGGATATGATACCTTCTTCTGACCTCCCTGGACACCAGACACCCACATGGTACATTTAAATACATGTAGATAAAGAACTCATAAAATAAGAATAAAACAAATGTTTAAAACTTTTTAAATAGGCAATGGGTTTGAATAACTTTTTCTGATGAAGATACACTAAAGGACATAAAAATATGCTCAACATTATTAATTTTCACAAATCAAAATGGCAAAGAGACTGGGTGTGCTGTCCTTGACTTATAGCACCAAGCTATGCTATATATATGAGTTCACCCGTGTCATGCAATGCCATGGAGGCCAGAAGAGGGCTTTGGATTCCCCTGGAACTGGAGTTAAGAACGGTTCGTAGTCGCCATGTGGGTACCAGGAATCGAATCCAGGTCCTCTGCAAGAGCAGTCAGTGCTCTTAGCCACTGAGCCATCTCTCCAGCCCCGAGTATCTAATCTGTTTAAAGAGATTCAAGATTGCACAGTGTCTGCTCCTGATTAGTGAATGCCCGAGTTCAGCTGTAGGCAGTTTATTAGTCAGCAATGAGAATACTAAGCAAGGCACGTTTTCGAAAGGCAGACCCTCTTACATCTACATAAATAGAATGTATTTGCAAGTATTGTATTTTTTTTTTTTTTGGTCTTTTTGAGACAGGGTCTCCCTGTAGCCCCAGCTGTCCTGGAACTCACTATGTAGACCAGGCTAGTCTTTGAACTCACAGAGATCAGACTGCCTCTGCCTCCTGAGTGCTGGGATTAAAGGCCTGCACCACCACACCCAGCAAAATGGATGTGGAGGCAAACACTATTTTTTTTTTTTGGTCTTAGTCTCCCTGTAGCCCCAGTTGACCTGGAACTGGCTATGTAGACCAGGCTGGCCTCAAACTCACAGAGATCCGCCTGCCTCTGCCTCCTAAGTGCTGAGATAAAAGGCCTGCACCACCATGCCCAGCTGCAGCTATTGTAATTTTAACTAAGCAAAGCTGCATGTAAGCCCAGAGTCTCCATTTATGACCTTGGTTAGCTGGTCTGTGATAGCATAAGATAGGTATGGTCTCTGTGGGGATCCTTTCCAGGATCTGATGTTTATCTCCCCCCAAAAAATGGTTCCTATCTCTCTCAAACTCAGATTCAATCTTATGTATGCTTTTTCTAAAATAGTCATCATACAGAACAGAAATGTCTGCATTTCCTCACAAGAAATAAAATTATTACTAAAAAAAAGTAATATTCTGGTTTCTTATTGCTAGTTTAACAAATTACCATTAAGGACTCCTGCAATCTGAAGTTTGTAATGCTTACTACTTCAGGAAAGCCTTGGGAGACAGAAATTGGTTGAAGGAAACAAGTTTCTTTGTTGTTGTTTTTGTTTTGTTTTTGTTTGTTTTGTTTTGTTTTGAGACAAGGTCTCCCTGTAGCCCCAGCTGGCCTGAACTCACTGTGTTGAACAGGCTGGCCTTGAACTCACAGAGTTCTGCCTCTGCCTCCTGCATGCTGGAATTAAAGGCACACATGGAAACAAGTTTTTTCAAAGCCACAACATCAGCCTTGTAGAATAGAGGAGACCTTCATCTCAGATCTTTAGCTTAGGAGTTTCAGGACACAAAGAACTTTTTATAAGAGAGAAAAAGGAGGAATACAAACAATGGGCAGAAAGTCCATGTGTGGGGTGCAGTGTTCAAGGTACAGTATGCTTTCTTTCCACTTCTCTGCAGATCCGCATAATGGACTCTACTCTCCTATAAAGAACCTAAGGACTTTTCTTCGGTACCAAGGATTAAGTGAGGGAGCTGGACAGACAGCTTAGCAGTTAAGAGCTCTGGCTGCTCTTGCAGAGGACCCAGGTTCGATTCCCAGCACCCACATAGTGGCTAACAACCATCCATAACTCCAGTTCCAGAATCTGATGTCCTCTTCTGACATCTTCAGGCTTTGTACAACATGGGTGCACTTACGTACATGCAGGCAATACCCTCATACACATAAAATAAAATAAAAATAAAAATAAGAATTAAGTCAGAGGCAAAAGGCAAAAAGAGGGGGCCAGGG